ATTGTTATCATTAGTACTGCTTTTCTGAAAAATATAATTGAATGCCGAAATAAATAACTATTGCTTGAAAATTTTCATTTAACTATAATAATAATAATGTAATGGTTAAGTATAAAAAATTTGCTTGAGATAATAATTTTTAATATAAAAAGGAATTATCGGATTTATCGTGGTTTCATTCAGACAGCATAATTTCATTTTTACTTAAACAAACAGCAAAAAAGATTCAAAGTTAATTATCCGTTCGATATTTCTGTAGTTGTAAGTTATTTGTTTCTTTTTTATTGTTGTTTAGTTGTTTGTAAAATACATAGATTTATCAAAATCCATAATGAGAGGTGCTTAATAGTTGTTCAGGAGCTTCAGCAAAATTAATTTCGTATTCAAGAGAGTTTTTAAACTGGAAAAATAAATAGGTAGCATAATTGTCCTCTTGATGTATTGAAGTGTGCATTCAAAAACTGTTTTCATCACGCAGCTACCATTTTCCCACATCAACTTGAGGTTTGCAAATGACATATGGGCGGTTGTTGGAAGTGGTCATTAACTCCGTGACTTCTCGTTAACAAGGTGAAATAAGTTAGTTGCGGCTCCGGAGGCCAGCCGGCGAACTAAGCCACAAAACCGCATGCACACGAGCTGTCTATTAAAGAAGGTTAGGAAACATAACAGCGTATCGTCTGAGACCTTAGTGATTTATGAAGTGCTTTTCGCGGTTTGCCATTGTACTAAAGCGTATAATAAAGTACACGTGATAAGAACGAAATATTTCTTTTTCGCAGTTTCTCAAGCAATTCAGATTGAATTTCTTGGTGTCTTAATTCCACAAAAAATGACTAAATTTTCGAAATCATCAAAATTTAGCGCCAGAATCCTAAAAGTATGTCATGTCTGGGTGCTTAAATTCGATAATTTTAAGTGGTGTCTATATAATTTCAGAGTTGCTTTTGAACTGCAGCTTTATTTCTGTCTATCGCATATTTAAAAAAAAAAAAAAAAAAAAAAAAAAAAAAAAAGCGAGAACCTCAAGGAGGGAGGGAATACCAATTAAATTTCAATTAAACCGTACTGTATAATTAATTTAATTCCTAATGTACATGCCAGTTACTAGACTCATAGGAGAAATACATGATTTGTTAGTTTTCGGCATAACTCAATAAGCTACAGCAATTTTTGTGAAAAATGCAGGGTTTTTTTTTTTTTTTTTTTTATATTTATTAATCTTACGAAATAAAAGCAACAGCTTTCTATGTTAAAATGTTAGCTTAATTAAACTAAAAGGAAAGCAAACGAAATTTAATATTTTGTTTAGCTTTCTTTAGTAATCAATAATAGCTGATATCATGAAATATACTCTTATATAGTTTACCACTTTACATTTAATTATTGCGCTATGATGGTATATCTTAAAAATAAATTTTATCAGTCCCCCTTTCTTTTTTTTTTTTTTTTTTTTTTTTGTTATGGGAGTAGGTTTATTACTGATTTAAGTTTTTACTATATCCCAGATCTTTTCAACATGATTTGTAGCCGGCAATATTTTTTGACCAATCAGTTACAGGTTTGCTGGGTCGCTATTCAAACTTGCTTAAAATTTTGGTTTCAAGGCATAAAACGGTATATATATATATATAAATTCAAGGTATTCAAGGTATATATATATATATGCCAAAGAAAAAATTAAGGAAAATTATAATGTAGTATCGTTTTAACAATAAAAGAAATAAAAAATGAAATGTTGTACGAAAAAAAAAAAAAAAAAAAAAAAAAAAAAAAAAAAAAAAAAACAGGATTTCAGTCAATGGGTCTAGTAATTTACTACGATGCTATCTATGCCGTTTCTATTTTACTTTCCTTCTTCCTGAAAGAACAAGAACAAAGTATTTATTTCTTTACAAGCGATATTTCCAAGAATATTTGTGCGAAGTTTATTTTAGTTTGAAAAATTCTCGACTGTGTTGTAGTGAGTTCTAAGCTGTGATCAAATAAATGAAACAAGATCAGGAAAGTAATTTTCTTGAAATTCCTTGTGTTTGATGTCACACATTTAGGCGCGTAATAAATATAAGTAATTTAGTGCTTTTGCAGCATTAGAGATACCTATAACGAAAGTTTATATAGGTATACATACGTAGAAAGGCTATGTGTGTATTTTTAAGCATGGTATAGAATTCTAGTTTTCAGGTTTCTTTTTTAATGAAATGTAGAATTGAAAAGTAAGTTAATAAAGTTAAATAAAGTTATGATAGCAAAGCATGCAATAATAATAATTTTGCACGGTTTTTTGTAGCTTCCAAAGTCTAGTAAAGAAACATTTGGCTAAGAATCTGTGTATTTCCATCACATATCGCTTTCCATCGTTATCTTTCGTCGTGCCATTAAAATTCTCGGTTAGCGAAATGGAACATGACATTTTTCTCACAAGCATTAAGATTTAATCCCTATTAATCTTTCAGCACAGAATTTTGTTAGTTATCTTTTATAAAATTTGCTAATCATATACAGTGCTCTGATTCACCTCTGGACTTCTTTGCTAAATTTTTCTTTCTCAAAATATACGAATAAAAATAAAGCAGTTGTCTTGAACTTCTGCTATAATTCTGTTATATCAAAGTTCCAAATATCGGCAAACGAGCTGGTTGCATGTGTGTTTTCGTAATTTCTCTCGTGTGTAAAATATTAAGACGGCTTTTTTTAGAATATCCTTTACGAAGGAATTCTTTCAAGTAGTAGGTAATTTTTGTATGCTTTGTCGTATTCGACCCAAGAAAAAGGCAATATTGAGTTCCTGTATTTTTAAGTAATCTGAAATTTCTTCATACCATTTCCTGCAAGTTTACTTTTGAAACTGAAACAAAATTAAAAACAACAGACGTTCATCACAATGTATCGAAATCTACTCTCACGGTGTAACACCGGACATTATCATTTAAAGTCTAATTCTAGGTTGGGAATCTTTGACCTTGGTCACGCTTGTGTGACGGTAACTTCGCTACTTTGGAAAAAGCCGTGACAAATCGCATCGACTCCCGTTGATCTACAGACAATTACAGAGACTCAACCAAGACTCGCGAGTAATTGCTTATGTTCTTTCTGTAATTAAATTTTAACGCCTTTGTAATGGATGAGGTTTCGAAGTGGACGTTATGTGTTCGAAAGTTCTTTACCTAAGCAAGAGCAAAGACCATAGGTTAAAATTATCGAATGAATTTGTGCCATGCTATTTTTTTATAATATTTCACCATTACTTTCACATGCCTATGATTTATTTTTAAGTATAGTAAATGTTATTTTGAAGATTTATGAATGTTATTCGGAATAAATGATGTAAACGAAACGAAGAATGATGTCAACATTTCGATGAATTCAATTTAATAATTCTGAAAAGCAATTTCGATATTAATTCAACATTATAGAAAGTGATGCAAGAGTTTATTATTTTAGATTCTACCATATAACTAACAATATTGTAAAAAATTTTAATAATAATAAGTAATATAATCAAGTATTATAATGATAATATTAATTATTATTATATATAAATATTATTATATTAGTAATTATAATAATAATAATTACTATTATTATTATAATTACTATAATAATAAGTTATTACAATAATAATAATACTTACTATAATAATTAAATAGTAAATATTAATCAAGTATTATAGCGGCTAATAATCAAGTATCATAACGGCTTATATAAACTACTTGCAATTGTAACCAAGAAAGCGTCTTAATTTGCTCAAAATTGCATTGTATTCGTACTTTTAGATTCTTTTCTAGTTTTTCTGAAATTTCATTTGGGGAATGATTAAACAATACGTTCTCTCCATATTATGAAAATTATTGCTCAGATATTACTTTAAAGATTTTCATAAAGGTTATAAATTAATCTTCTCGATATAATGCAAATTTATATTAATATAGTTGGCTTATCTAAGTCAAAACTGGTTTCAGTATCTCAAGATAAATCTTCTTCCAAGTAAAACTTATTTTGAAATTCTGCCAAATGGCATCTTTAATAGCTGTTTTATCTTCAATTAGGTCCAACATTGTGTCTGATGAAGGTTTTTTTCGGTTATACATCTCATTTTAACTAGGCTGCAGTGAATTTCATTTCATCGCGAAAAAATATTAGCATGATTTCTAAAATAAATTAAATATTTGCTATCACTGTAGCTTTTAATATTGTTAAGTCGCTTTTAGAAAATATATTTCCTTATTTTGTTCATTAAGATCTCTAAATTTAAAATAAAACAACGAAAGTCTTCAGACTTAACAACGACTTCCAAACAAGACTTCCAAACTTAAGACAACGAAAGTCTGAAGACTTTCGTTGTCTTAAGTTTGAAAATTCACGAAACTCTCTAAATTTGTCTTACAATCTGTCTGCCAATTTAAAACGTATCATTTCGCTCTTAACATACAAATTTTAAATCGTTACGATATAGCAAACATAAAATGAATCAGATTCATGCTAAATGCATTTGAAGGAAATTTAGAGTACAGTGTGTTCGAAACGTCCATACTCTTTATAGCCTTTTTAGTTTTACGTAATGTAATGGATTCACTTGGGTAGTTGTCCAGGGGAGCAATTTGTGACCTGTAATGTTGGACACACTAGCTTATGTGCCTCTAAATCACCTGAGACATACTTCTAATTATTTAAAGTGTGAGCAGGTCTTCGGTTTTTCTTAGACCTATAGTAGAAAAATAGCCATGATATCCTTAATACACCCAGTTACCCACAGTGGAAGAAGTTTTTTTTCCACCATATGAAATCTGAAAACGAAAATAATCTTGAAAATAGAATCATGCTTCAGCAGCTGTGCTTTGCGCTACATTTTTACGTGAAATACCTTAACTGTGCGTTATTAACTTAAAATATCATCTTTAGAAATACCACATGGATATAAGAACATCCAGGATGCACTCTACAAATCATTATTGATTAGCGCACAATTGATAAGAAAACGTAATTAAAAAAGTACTGACGTTGTTCGGTGTTATCTCTGTCGTCTCTTTTCCTTTTATTGCTACCGTTGTCCTCCAGGGGGTTTGGAATTCCAAGAATTCCATTGATGGAGTAGGAAGGCCTTTGGTCTGGATGTGAGGTGACAATAACCGTGGAAGTCATTTGAGGGCTAGGACTATTGGAACTGGACGTCACCACATGTTTTGCTTTCTCAGCAGCTTTGTTACGCACAATCCTATAAATACAAATAATTATTAGAGGATATACCTTTTTTACAGAAACATTTGCATAAGCATTTCTCCCTCAGACTACATTTAAAGTTTATCTGAGGAAAGATTTAAGTATGCAGGTGCTTAACCATATACAAAAAGGCTTTGTTTGGATAAATTCATCACTTAAATGAAAATATCAAGGCCAAATGATTTGTAATTCGAAAATGTACTTAATATGCCTGCTGATATTATAGCTCAATCTTGTCAACCTTAAGAACGTTTAGAAAGTTTTAACATTACGTTATACTTAAGCAAAGTTATTTAACATACGGCTTATTCTACAATGTTTTAAACACCTAATATCTTTATTCATTATAGCAACGGGTGTAAAATGCAATGTGGTTGTAAGGAGAAACAACATTAGTGCCTTTCTCTAAAAACATACTAGGTATAAAGGATTTTTGAAGCATTGAATTGATAACTGTATGATTGAGAAACTGATGGTGTATGTACTAAAATCAAGACCGTTAATTTAAATTTTTTCGATGAGGTTCGAAACAGCTGATAGAAGTGTTGGAGCATTACACTTATTGTTGTTTTAAAAGACATGCGACTTTTCGGAATCATAAAGTTTTGATTGTAGGAGTTGTTCCTCATTTTTTAGACTCTTGTGTTCCAAACAGGAGCATCCTGTATCTGGTTACCTCCACTTTAAATTCAGATCCTTCACATATCACATTTAGCGTATATGTTAACCCGAAAAATAAACAAGATTTGAAATTCGAAGCGAGGCCCTCCAGCGCTTTTCTACACCGTTTAGGTCGAAAATCCTAAGGCCAATTGCAACGGTGTTTTGAATTATACTCGTATATTTTTAGTGATTTTGGACATCACTGAAGAGTAACATAGGATCTTCGCTTAAATATAAACTAAAGGTAAATAAATAAGATCGCTTCTGATTACAATTAGAATCCTGCTTTACCTAAGTAAAACACGAAAGTGAAGTAAACAGTTTATCAATTTTGCAAGCTGAATCCAATCAATCATTTTTAATTGCATAGTAAAAATTACCCATGTCTGCGTAATCATTTTATCAGGAGGAAATTAAACATAAGGCAAATATTTTAATTAATAAATTAAAAGCAATATTATCATGATAAAGCTTTTTTACGAGGAATATACTAGTGGAATCTTGCAAATTTATTCAAAACAATGAATAAAGAAGTATCACACTGCTTAAATATTTCAATATTCCAGTTATAACTTATTACAAATACTGATAGTTATATTCATGTTACAGAAATTTTGCTTGAATACTTCTGCAGATGCCTTCCTATGTATATAAGGCTATGTTTCAATTTAATTTCTTTGACGTGTTGGACGTTTTGGATTACGAAATCGAATACTCAAAATGAAGACCACGAAGAAGATATATGATAAATGTAATTAAAGTAACATTTTCAAAAGGATAATTTCTATATTGTTAAAATAATTAATGGGTGATCAAATGCTAATTAAGGACGCATTATCTGTCAAACTATAATGTTATGATTTGATGAAATTGTAGCAAGAGACCTTCATCGACTCCAGTCATTTTCATACAGCTTGACAGCAACCTTCTCTAGTATTTATTGTTATGAATCTGCGAAAGTTCGCCTCTGGAATAAACTGATGCTGTTGCCAAACGAATGTACCTTTCTTCATATATTCCTTTGTCAACTCGTCTTAAATTGTGAGTCTCAGTTTTAATTAGGATGGACTTTCAATTTTAGAAACTTGTATAGAAGCAAACAATCTCTCAAATTCGAAAGCTCATAAATTAAAATGCCGTTAAAATGAATATGACCTTTTTTTGGAACTAATGCAATAATTCGTAAAAAATGTGTAGTTCATGAATAGGAAGCTAATTAAAAGCACAAGTCTACAGTACGTATCTTTCCAGTTTTTTAGATGCAGTCTCAGATTTCTCTGAATTTGTTCAAGAAAGATATATTCGAAACTCGAGGCTTCCAGATAAAAAATGATTTCATTTGCGTGCGGATTTATTCCTTCCGCAAAGGGTGAGGGAAGTCGCTTTATTAGTCACTGCTAGAGGAAAACATTTCCAGACAAATAGAACGTCAGCAATATAAATGTTTGGACGAAAGAAGGGGGCCCACACGCGGAGGTCTCTCTGGCCGTCATCCAGATCGACACGGAAACACATTTCCAAAATAGAAACCATTCGCCCCTCTTCATACATCTTTTTTGCCACTCATTACCTAATTGTAATACTTATTTCTACGATTGATAGTGATCAAGCACAACAAAAATCGTTACGAAGCAGCAGGGATTCGTTTTATCAAGCTAATTAATCATAGACACAATTCGTATTCAGTCAAGCTGTTAGTCCTCCGAACTCCAACAACACAGAAAATAAATAACTAAAGCTTCTCTCTTCCAGCTCTTAGCAAGAAGATACATACGTCAACCAGTGTTTATGTTTACAGATTTATCAATCATGACAGCGCTGTCTATTAATAAAAGTTGCAGAAAAATGTCCAGGCTACCAAATTCTATCTTAGCACAATCAACTGGTATGGAATACTGATTAAATACAGCTATCTGCTAGACGTTTAAATTTTATTTATTTGCGGCGAATTTTAATTTAACTGATTAACTTGTAGAATGGGCAGCTTAGATTTTTTTGATCGAGTTGGAAGCTCTAGTGGAATCTTACGTTAACGATCTAGAACAAAATACAGGACAAAGTTTTCTAAAATTAATGTGTTGTTAATTATAGCTTTCGCGAAAGTATATTTTTATTCTAAACAGTATAAACCACTATCTTTAAAGAAACTTTTCTTTAAAAGATATTTCTTCATTGTTCGAGCAAATTAATGTAATTTTTATTTTATACTTTATAATTTTTAATAATGATAAGTATTTTGCAGCATAATTTAACTGTTTGGAAATTGTATGTTTTAATTAAATTAATTAAATTTGTCTACGTGATACGTATTTTAAAATAATCTGAAACTGTTAATGTATGTCACAAACATTAAAATCTTTGTAAGAAACAGTTAACCAAAGCGCTTAGTATAAAGAGTGTGAGAAAGTTAGAATTTTTTTATATAAATTCTAGCGTGCATATTTTAGTACCGCTGGAAGTTTTTTTATTGCAAATATTGCATACACATTCGTCTTTTTCTGGCATCAACATTATATGAAAAATACAGTTTCCAAAATTTTTCAATACCAAAAGAGTTTTATATATTTCAAATTCATAATTTTAAGAATTTTTGTTTGCTTAGCACTATTTTTGCATAGATGTGTAATCTGATATTTTTGAATAGATGTGCAATCTGAAAATTAGGCTTTGTTCTTTAAATGATGTATTTCATTGAGCAGTAATGTTTATAATAATGATAATTTAATAATATAATAGTGAGTGAATGACGATCATGATCATTTTCTGCAAACAGATGAATACCTAATAATTGATAGAAAGAAAATTACATCAATCATAAGTGATTTTCTTCCTATCGGTAATATGCTTCTGGCATACAAGTAGATAAGATATTTTTTAATTTCATCTAGAAATCATAACAATTTATTTAATTATTTTAGCAAAATAAAAAGCGAAAAAATTCCCTGTTGAATAAATCTATGGAAATTTCCCTGGAATTTCCTAACAAATTCAAACCATTTGCAAATTTCAGCAGCAAATTGTTAGCATTTGAAATTCCAAACAAGCAAAAATGGAGCAAAAATTTCATGGACATAAGATGAGTAGGCAATTTAACCAGACAGCGGTAAAGAATGCAGTAAAAATCTCCTGCTTTGGATTATTTTGCACTTCCTTAAACTCACACTTGCTTACAAATGGAGTGTTGTGATCTATTAAGAGGACATTTGTTTAAACTCTTTTTTATACTATTTATGTTTATGCTAAGCAAATCATCGACTTCGTCTTAAAACACAAACAAGGATTTTTCACGAAGCAGAAATAACAAACAAACAAACCTGTTGATGGAGCTGACAGAAGGTATGTTGTCTTGATCACAAATTCCATCGGCTAAAAGCCGGTCCCTGATTTCCCAAGCGAACATGGTTGGGTTTTGTTTTTTGTAATTGGCTATGGCGTCTACCACTTTAGGGGTGGCCACTTTTGGTTTGCTTCCTCCAATGACTCCCGGTTTGATGGAACCCGTTTCGTAGTACCTGTGAGAAAACAAGAAAACTAAATTTTTTGCAAAGCCACTAAAATGAGAAAACTGTAAATTACAAAAGTTCGCAAGTTCTCTCTGAAATAAAATCGACAATAAATACATTCTTCAGTGCAGATGGGCACATTCTTTTCTCACCAGTTATAGAATCGACACAAATGTGATAAGACAAATTAAGTAAAATTGCATAATGACCAAAGGTGTTCATGCAATTAAATAAGACACCTACAAATCAAATTTTACCCACAGATATCTTGTTAATATAGTAATACTATTTTATAGTTCATTAAAAAATTTAAATTGCTAAACTATAGATTAAATGAGGTAGAGATGATATTCATAAAATAAATATACAAAATTCACAAAAAATTACAGTAGATAGTAATTTATATTTTTCTCCCATAGGGATTGCAACTGTGCAAGATTAAGGAGTCTAGTATTAAATAGCCATAAGTGCCATAAAAACAAATCAGATATATCGAAAGCTATAATAACGGCATTACTGTATGGTGATTTACGGTAAGGTGGCAATTTACGCATCAGGTTTAATGGTATTAAAATTTTTTACTTGAAAGGCAATAAACGATATACTGCACCAGCATTTCTTTAAACTTAAAGAATTCAAGTACCTTTTTCAAATTACGCGTATTTCGATAATCTTTAACAATTAACTTATGTAACTTATTAGATTTTTATAAAGGAATTTCATGAGGAATCAAATTTTGATTCAGAAAATTACTCCATGAGACCTGGAGCTGTAAATTATCTATTTCTAATAATTACTCATGGATCTTTGATTTAAATCAAAGATCTGAGGGATCCTCGGGCATCTATTCGTTGTTTCAGACATTTTATTACAGTATTAGTAAGACTTGGATTATGTAACGAATCGAATAAACGAGCGCTTGTAACTCACTATGGTGTGAATTCCATGGGAATGAGAAAGGAAGAAGTAAAATATAGAGAACATGTCCAATTTTAAAATTGTGTACACATTTTAGACTCAGCTATAATATTAAACAAAGATTAAATTAAAAATGAGTAATATTAAATCGAGATTAAATAAAGGTGGATCGATTATTTTATTGTTTTATTTTAGAACAGAGCTCAGACTTTGCGCAACAATAAGCAGTTAAGTCAACCAAATAAATCATGAAATTAATGAAAAACTTTACTGTACACAATATTTCTGATAAAATTCTGTTAATTATTAATAACATTGATCAACTGAGTGCATCTATGCCACACATATATTTTTCTTTTCGCCTTAGAAAAATGAGAACTTGGAACAATTAAAATCACATTTATATTGTACATTTAGAAAGGGGAAAAAACTTTATTCCCTACGTGTACAGAGACTAAGTGACTAAGTACTGATCGAACAATCAGTCAATAATACTCAATTTTAAAAACTAAGAAGACTTACTTGATAGCCATATGCTAATTTTATTCAAATTTATTATAATGAATTAAAAAAATTATCATTTATTTGTTAGTTGGTTTTTATTTTTAATTATTTTATTTTACTTTTAATTACTTATTTACATTTTAAAATTTTTTATTATTTATTTATTTTATAAAAAATCTCCTACAAATTTGTATGAAGACAAATTATAAATAGCATATGTATTTTAAAAACTTTTATATTTTCCTAAGCGAAGACCGTTTGTAATAGGTAGAAATCAAACAGAGCACTTTGCCTTCTTTCCGTTTTCGTGAAAGAGGGCGACAGAAATAAGATCTGGAGGCTTATGTGAAGAAACGTATTCTTTTTAAATAATTTTTTAGTGTGCCGCTCGTAAACTGGATATCGCCTTTCTTGACTGGATGAATGCCAGATGCCGCCTACTGTTTTCCTTGGAGCACCTGTGTCAGAATTTTTTGACTAGACACAGTTGAAAAATTATTCGAATATGTTGGACTGCAAAAATTCGGTCTTTTTTTTTTTTTTTTTTTTTTTTTTCTTTCTTAAATTTTCCTTTATTTCCAGAGATTAAATTTAGAAGACGGGTTAAGGTAAATGCATATGTATTTAATATTATTTTTGTCAATAGCATGTGGTTGTTTAAGCTTCAAAATCGGCTGTATTCGACCTTTCAATGTTTTTTTTTTTTTTTTTTTTTTTTTTTTTTTTTTTTTTTTCTTTTCAATTTTTATTTTATTTTATTTATTTATTTTTTTTTATTCCATGAGGAACTTTTTCTTCCCCGCCCCCAAGAAAAGACCTTTGCAAAGTAATAATGGCGAATATTTCAAAAAGCTCATCTAACTTTATGCGAATTATAAATAATTCAGATTCCTTTTTAACTAGAAAAATATGCTGGTTTATAAAGTAGGAAATAAAAATTTATTAACAAACTCAGTGCTAAATCTGTAAGAAATTATCCATTTTCCCCATGTCTGCTCTATTGGAGAGAGCGGTCGGCAAGTCCGATGGGTAATCGAAATATCCTTGCTTCGAATCCCAGCGTGTTCATATTTGATTTCTCTTGTTGCCTGGCTCCGGTAAACTGTATTAACAGTGCTGCAGAATCTTTGTGAACCTTCAATAAATCGCCTCAGAGGGATCCATCAGAGCATCGTTTTCTCCTTTTCCTTTGACTCGAAAAGACTTCTGTAAATTTTTATCTACCCTTATTCCACGTGCACAAAATTGATGTAACCTCCTAATCTTACCCGGATTGAAGTCTAGACTAAGAACAGTGACAATCAGCTATGTTATATTAGCTATTTACGTATATACAAATATTGATAATTGCCATTTTTACTGCCATGTTAGCCCTGTCTCTTTTTCCATTGCTATATTAAGTCATTTTTAGGAAATTTATTAAGGGGAGAAAAGACGACATATATTTAATTTCCATAAAATTACTACTATAACTAAGTTATTATTATCTCTGTAAAAATTTTTCAAAAAATCATTTTCATATTTAATGTTTTTTCCCGTTTATTTACCTTGCGTTCAAAGAAAAAGGTTAAAAAAGGTTAGTATTGAGACAAATGATGTTATTTATAAAACAAAACAAAATGTTTTTTATGGAAAGCACTTTTACCAAAGTAATTACTCGAAAATAAGACTTCCTTGGTTATAAGACCCTCCCCTTACATTTTAAGATAAATGAGATAAACAAAAGTTTAGGTGAATATTTAATGAGAGCATAGCTTCTTATTAAAATGAAAGATAAGCACTTAATAAGACGCCTTCATGGGAGAAGGGTTGTTCTAAGAGAAACTAGCTCATATTTATGCTACACATGGGGAAACCATTAAATACAACTATACAGCTGGCCAGTTCCCAGGACGAACTGCCTTTAATGTACGAAATTTCATCTATTAAAACACCTGATTGTAAGATCCCACCCGAATTTTAGAATCAAAATATAGAGCCAAAAATGGAGGTCTTATTTTCGGGAAAGTATGGCAATAACATCTGAAATTAAATTAAAGTCTTATTATTTCGTGGTACTGATCAGGACATCTGTACTTCTAATTGTTGGATGATAATAAGAATACTTTTGTAAGAAAAGCAAAAAATTGAATTATCATAATTTTTGATAGAGTTTTATAATAGCAAAGATTAAAATAATGCATATAATTATTTTTAAGCCTCCTTTTTTCCACTTTTTTTTAGTGAAATTCAGAGTAAACAATATTAATTTTAATTTGAACTCTCTTCTTACTCTAAACAAAAGCATTATAGATACAAAATAACTAACTTCTCTCTTCTGTTCCTTTTTTACCCCTCATTGTGCGCACGATTGTATGCATAATGGATTGCATGCATTGCTCGTAGCGAGCAATAAAAGAGCGGTATATTGAAAGTATCCTATGCTAGACTAAGCCATGGCGGTAACTTTTGTAAAGGATTCTTTTTCTAAGAATTAAAATCATTTGATGTACAGAGTGTATCAAATTGAGATGAAGGAAGTAAGCTCTGTTTCATTCACTTCGCAACTCGTTTTCTCTTCCTACTTTGTTTTTAAGAATACACCGCCTCCCAGATTAGAAGAATCTACGAAAAAAGAAGAATGATGGAAAGATTTGATATGCAGCAAGGAACCAAGTATCAAGGCAGCTCAGTCGCTGAAAATATTGACAGCGAATTAAAAAAAAAAGAAAATTATACAAAATAAAGATAATTTTCTTTCTTCTCTAGACTTGATTTATGGTATTCATGGGCTTAAAACAATTACTAGACTGAGAATGATAAAGCTAAGAAAATAATCGTTTATAACAAAATACTTGTAAAATGGGTTTCGTCATCCATTCAGATTTCGAAGCATTGATTGTATCCCCATGAACCGTTTCATAAACCCTCATGTATTTTATAAATCAATATTTGTACTTGTAAGTCAAGATTCGTTTTCTGCAAAATCATAAGTACGTTATCATTAATTTTATTATTAGTAACCTATTTTTCAGTTCAGGGGCGTAGCTAGAGTTTCTAGCGCCCGGGGACAACCGAAGAATTGGCGCCCCTTCCTGTGTGCCAGAAATGGAAAATATTTCATTAAAAAATTTCGTAGCATCAATTTGGCGCCCCTTGGATGCTGCGCCCGGGGACAGATGTCCCCCCTTGCCCCACCCTAGTTACGCCACTGTTTCAGTTTAATGTTCCTTATACAGAAATCTTTGTACTTTAAATCAACATTTCAATCAGAAACTCCATCTCATTTAAAAGTTAGCTAATAGCAGAAATTTCGTAGTCATTGAATACGTTTTATAGCCAACTATTACACTTTTTAATAAAATCAGTGTCTTCTCCAGAAGACCTCAAAAGATACTCTACAAATATCTTTACCATACTTATCCGTATATGTGTTTTAAAATTTGAATAAGACAGGGCGTCAAACATTTTTACAAACAAATAATCTTCGCTTATTTTTATTGAAAGAGTTGGTTGCACGACAAATTTCTAAATTTAATAATGTTCATTTACTTTTTGTCAGTCGGAAAACCGGAAAAAAATTTGAAAAAACCGGACACGAATCAATAATTTAAGAAAAACAAAAATATTAAATATATTTTTGCTTAATTACACCTATTTAATTAGGAAGTAGTTGATATAAGTACAAATTATGATTCCCATTCAACGGCTTTTTATTTTCCTAACATGTAATAACGGCTTTTTATTTTCCTAACATGTAATATTTTCAAAAATACCTCACACAAAAATTGTTAAAGTACGTAATAAAAGCTTTCAAACTGATAACATATTGTTTCTTTAATTAAAAGAAATTGTTTCTAAAAAGAAACGTTGAATCAGCTTTTAAATTGCTGCCACCAAATATTATTGCTCTGTGTTATATTTAAAGAAATTAATAATGAAGAATCTGCATAAATGTATGCATATTTCTCGCATTGTGATAAACTGTCTATAAAAAATTCTAAAGATATGCTTTTTTTAAATATTTTGGGATATTGCTGTTGAATTGAATTTTATGTGGTATAAGTGCCAAGATCATAATATTTAATAAATAAAGGTAACACAATAACTATCTATTTACGACATCTATTTACGATCTATTCATTATTAGCTACTCATCTATTTACGACAAAACGAATCTGGGGTATAAAATTGCGAAGCACGTTCAGAAATAACATGAAATGGTGTAAATGAACTAAATTTTCACTACTTGTCTACTTTTCTTCAATTAACTAATCACTTTTGTTATACTATATTTTACAGGCTCATAGATATGTTTTATGTCTTATTTCCTTTCGTACTCTAAGAGCTTAGATTTACTTGAACACAAGAAAGTGAATGAAGACTAACTGAGGGAGACCTTCTTAAGGGAAATTGTTTCTATTCTCATTACACATGAGAAAAATTACAATAATCAACTCTGCAGCCAGCTCGTTTATCTGGAATCAAACCCGTATCCAGTTCCCATTGCAAGCCGTAAAGTTAGAAAGAGGAAAATCGAAATTCTTGTTTAAAACTTTCAGACGAAAAAGATATTATACTGAGATTTAACAAAAAATACGTACTTTTTTATATCAATTAAACACGTCCCCATAATGAACGAAGCATTCAAATTAATAGTTCATATAAAAATGAAAAGTGCAGCATGAAATTTAATTTTTAGTAGGACATAACCATTCTGTTGAAAGACAGCATTAGTCCTTAGATTAGTCGAAGTAAAAAAGCGCTTTCAAAAGAAAATGTTGCAAACATTTTAGACATAACACTCGCATGTGAATTAAAGAATGCTTAAATTTTGTTAAATCTCGGTATAAGCACAACTGATAAATTATAAAGACATAAAACTCTATATTATAAACATGCTTTATTTTAACGGCCGACGCGAGCTATGTGTTTTGGTTCTTTGCTGCGTAAAAGTGGCGCAGGGATGGCCCATTAGCTCCGCGTTTCGCGTGCCACTCCTCACCTGCTGCTGCGCGTCAGTTTCACCCCCTGATGGATGATGTCTTATTCCTTTCCAACTCTTTTTCGTCACATTCATGCCTACCCCTTTTCCTTAGCTCTACCGGAACCGTCATATTCTCAATGACATTGAATAACGACACTGTTGTACAACGTCTGTCCTTGGATTTCTTCAATGAAAAAAATGCCAGTGAAAGGAATTGCCAATGAAAAACCATTGAATAACGAAATCAGATACTACTATTAAAAGCGTGAATGAAAATTAATCCTCCTGATTCTATTAAATATCTTCAGCGTCAGTTATCGAATACTTACTATGCGATCGATACGATGTCCAATACGTTAAAACTTGTTATGAGTTGTTGATGATTATTTCAGAAAAAGCTTGAAAGTACATATGCTAGATGTGAGGAAATCTTAAGTATCTGTCTTGCAATCAGTACTTCTGCATTCATCTATCTTACCTGCTTCTGCTTGTTTCCAATTTCCAGCTTTTTTCCCGCCTTTTGGACTGGTCTTAAAAATGCATTGAGCGAGCGTATTATTTCTAATCATGACAACCCAAATACAAGAGCACTGTTCCGTTATTAAGAAGTAAATCAACAATTTAACGATCGTGAAACAGCAAACACGTTTAATCTCTGGCACCATCGTGATTCCATACAATCAGATAAGCAAAGTTATATTACATATATTCTTTTATAGGTTATATTGTATATGCCTAACATAAAATTCTACACTTTATACTGATAAGCATAATTTCTTTAAAATGTTGCTCTGAACCAGTCTCATATGATAGTACTATAGCAAAAAATATGACAGTAACTTATCTGCAAAAATAACCTAATAACAATCCAACTCGAATCATTAAGCCTTTCCTTAAGCACTATGCATCAGTGCTATCCTTTAAATTTTTAATACTAGTCTAGTGAAAAGTATTAGAATTTTCTGTATTTCTGCTGTCAAGTAAAATAAGAGTTATAGCTTCAAAGTAGTTTAACGGTTTTGGGCATTTTATTATTTTTTATTAAAGCAGTAATTTCTCATAGCAGATAGAAATAAGATTATTCAAATAATTTTGATATAATTCTTACTGACGATGCTATTCGAAATGTGGTGTGGAATAAGCAAAATTTAAATTTGTCACCAAATACATCAGGTGGAATGTAACGGATGACTTGATAGCTTAAAAGTATTATTTGTTGTTTTGATTGGAGGTTTTTCAGTTTCAAATGTTTTATAGACCCACATTAAAGTAATAAATGTAGCAGAATTCAAAATGCTTTGATGGTAAAACAACTAAATGTTACTTAGAACAATAAGATTTCCATACAAAATGCTCTAAAGAATTTTTTAAACTGTAGTTAAATATTTAAAAGACTTAGTGTTTAAATAAGTAGACATCTGTTTTGCATTTTAAGAAAAATTTAAAAGAAATTATCCTAAATCTACATATAAAAAATAATAATCTATTTCATGAAGGTTATCCCCCTATCCTTCAATAACGTAACCTAAGTAATTTTATTTTATCATTTTAAGGTTTGATTATATCATTTTAAGGTAAGATTTCTTTCTTTTTTTTTTTTCTTTTTTTTTTTTCATTTTTCATTTTTCTTTAGGAAGTACATATCAGTATTATCCTTTGAATTTTTATTACTAGTCTATTTGACAAAATTTTATATTTTTCCGTAAACAGAAGTTATAGCTTTAAAGCGGTTTAGAGTTTTAAAATGTTTTCACTCTAAATTTTAATTTACAGGCACATTTAAGCTAGTAACGGCAGCAAATATCAACTTTCTTAGATGGAAGGTGACCGAAAAGAAATTTCTTTACAAAATGTTGAAAATATTTCTTAAAAGTTATGGTTAAAGATTTGATAGTTAAGTGGTTAAAAGACTTAAAGACTATCTTTAAGGTTAGATAGCTAAAGAGAGGTGTTTAGCATTTTAAGTATAGTTGAAAAATAAGTTATAATAAGCCTACATAAAAAATATATAATATTAATATAATAAACAGAAACTTATTTCCTTGTCTTTTATCAATTTCTAGTGCTGAAATTTTTGTTAAACATACTCTTTATTATTATCTTTATTTTATTGCCGTAATTTTTAGTAAGTATTCAAAAGTGTGGCAGATGTGTTATTATTTTTATTTGTCAAAAAATGCTTTTGACTTTACACAATAACTTGCCTTTATATATATATAAGATCTGCGGAATATTTTTATTCTACGGATTTAAGAAATATTTTTATTTTTTTTCTTCTTATCTCACTGAAGCTTCTCTGTTTCTGAAAACTAGATGGCTTTTCAGGGCTATTTTTGTGCTTCCTCGTAAAAAGGAAGACCATAATAGACGAAATACGGATAGCAAAGAAGAAAAAGAGAAAAAAAAAAATCTAAAAAGGAAATAAATCCGATGGGAATAAATAGAAGACTGACCTTCCGAGTATTTTGGAGACGCATCCGTGCGAGACCCTGAGCTGCCTGCTGATGTCGCATGGTCTGACCCCCTGGTGAGCAAGCTCGACTATCCGCTGCCTTACCATGTCCGGCAAGGGGCGACCGTTCACAAACACGCCACCAAGCTGGTTCACCCCACCATGACCTGCAATGGTAAAAAACGCTCAAACAATATTCATTCAGTTTATAAAGTTTCAAGAAAATAAACATATCTAACACAAGAAAAGAGATGCTTTTACTTCACTTTGCAAAGGCAGCAAATATTTTATTTTTGCGATTAGACATTCTAACAAAAGAAAAGGGTTGAGTCACTTTTGACTTACCTTACCTATATAACTAACAAATGGTAAGTAAAAATTCTTCTTTCCCTCGTATCGAGTATTTTTTTTTTTTTACTTATTACGTGCTCCGCCCTTAGGCACTACACGGAAAGGGAGGGATGCCCCGTGGAGGTCTTTTTAAGGGAAACTGGCTCGTATCCACGTTCGTATCGAGTATTTGGCCATGAAAATATAATTTATTGTGGTATATAAAATAGATCCCAGTCGTATCTTTAATTATAATGATGATGATATTAATAACATAATAATAATTATTATTAATCGTTACTTCTAAAGACCACGTTTTGGATTTTATGAGTTATTTTAAATATCAACCTAAGTAACCTACATTCTCCTACAGAAGCTTATGAATCTGTCATCATATTTGTTCTTTATTTTTGGAGGCATGTTTCAGATAAAAACGTAGTTTTTAAAGTAACGTGAATGAATAAGCATACAATACAGCTCTTAAAAAAATATATTAATTTAACAACCTGTTGAATGATTTTTGCTATTTTTAACTCGAGTTAGTAGACGCACCTTTTGTTTATAGTTAAGCAAAGGAGCAATTTTAGTTTGGCATACACTTGGGAAAAAACTCTACCGATTTCGTGAACCTCTTTTTCAGAAGCCATAAAAAATTTACACCTATTATTTTTATGATTATTACCAAATTCAGTTAGTATTCAAACATCATAAATCTTTCTTTGTGATAAATAATACATTAATATAAAATATCCATAAACATTTAGAGAAAGAAATTTTCATTTTATAAGCAAGCACATTTATAAAAAAAGAAAACACAGGTAAAGAGAGTAATAAAAGTAGCATAAAAGATTGTAAGGTTTATCCTAAGTTTTTAACAGTCATATTTAGTTAAAGCTACTTTCCTGTCCTTAATAATTTCAGCTTACAATTTCCTACCAGAATGTGTTTTTAGAATCTCGTTTAATGCAAAAAAGAGGGGCATTCAAGTCGAAGTTCCACTGACTTCGAGAGAGAGTCCCAGAATTTCTGACTAGCGCGCCTTCGCCTTTTGGCTACGTCTCTCTCTAAGCTGTTACTACGCTCGGCCATATTTTAGGCACTTGATAGCTTGCTAGCTTATTGGATATTTAGGGGCCAACTACTTACACTTTTGATAGCTTCGGCTATATCTTTTTAGCTAAGCATTAGTTAAGTTTTATTTCTTATTGCTTTGAGTTCAAGCCCAAGTGGAGGCTTTGCTGTATGCTCTGAGAAAGGAGCTGACTGTTAAATTCTTAGTTTGAGAAATAAAGGGTAATTAACCTGTCTTGAATTTACGACTCTGTTCTTGAACTAAAGTGATTATTCGCTTAACTTAACTATTCACGAGGTTCCTGTACATTTAGCTGTTAGATAAAAGAGTGGAACTCCACAAGATAAATGAATATTAGCATTAAACACTTTTAATTAATATATGAATGACATTGAGATTTAATGTTGATAGAGAAGGAACACAAAATTATTTTGATTATATTTTGATCAACAGATGTGCATTATAATTTTATATTTAATATTTGTTACTTTGCTAGTTCTTTCTTCTGCACTGGTGATTATAAGGCATATATTATTATAAAGTTACATTTAACAATTATAGCATGTAATTACTATGTGACATTATACATTTCTTGATGAATGGATTGATGTATAGATAAATAGATAGATAGGTAATTGGCCGAAAGATTTATTAAAGTATACTTAAATAGGTACTATTTGTTAAAGAATAAATATAGATGCCGAAAGATAAGTAAATACATATATCATTTAATTATAATAAAGGCCAACATATAATCAGATAATAGGTTAGAAAAACATATAAATAAATTATTAGATATTGGCCGATAGATGCATATGTACCCACATTTAGATTTAGGAATGAATATAGTAGTAAGAATGAGGCTGAATAACTGCAGGCATTTTTAATCATCTATTTAAATAAATATACAAATATGTACATTAAACATACAGATACAAGCATAAATAACTTCATAAAATAATATTAATAACATAAATGTTTATCCGATTATTCATTTAAAGACTTTTGAAAGTGTTAAAGCTTAACCAAACAGGATGCAGACAGAATTATTAGTACTAAAATACAACTCCACATTTCCATACAACTTAATAGTTTACACACCCTCCAAATGTTAAATCAGAGAATAAATTAGTACCGTTAGGAAGAACTGATAGGTGTTAAGATTATTATATCGCTGCAAGTTAGTACCCTTAGAAAGAACTGATAATTATGAGAGTATTATGTATTGCAGGAAGGTATAATCGCCAGATATTAGGCCCTGCATAGCAAAGAAAATGGAAGGGAATTCTGACGTATAAAGTAGATGTTAGTGTAGGAGAGATTCTGGATGGTTGTTCAACTTACTGGATGACTGGGACTCGGAGGAATTGGACCTCCCCATTTTGGGCTGAATGTTTTCCACTCCAGGATTCGATTCCAGATCCAAGGATGGTAAGTAATTGATACTGCTTGAATCTGAAACGAACCCCACACACATAAGACAGGGAAACATTCAATGTAATCAAATGAACCCAAAACACAGAGGATAAATTTAAAAAAAAAAATTAGCATTAAATATGGGTGAGTTACAGGGCTTAGAGCAAAATATTTAGTTGAAAGGACAAAAATGAATCAGCAATGAAAGGTTTCTTTTTGTTTGTTTCTTCATATGCTTATTCAGAGAATCTTAACTATCCAGATGAGTACGTATTAACGCATTCACCTTAACAAAAATCGCCATTTTTTTTCCAAAAACGCGCCAAACTTTGACAACCATGTGCAAAACAATTCTTCAGTTTTAGCAAAAAATGTCGCCATTTTTGTATGCGTTCTTTTGTTGTATTTCAATGGCTTCTAATATTTTTGCTTTAAATGAGTTTTAAAACATGTACTTGTGGTATTTTTCTGCTGTGGAAGAAACTGCTGCAGGATATCTGCAGGAATACAGTGTTTTATTGCGAAATTGCATAAAGATTGCATAGCATCCATGCTTAAAACGATTGTCACAGAATTTCCGCCAGAAGAAAAGAAACAAAAACTTGCTTGTCAGTAAATTTATTGATTGATATTCGGGTTAAATTTTTAATTAAAGTTTAAGTACGTATTTATGTAATAAATATTTTTTGCAATGACAAGTCATCATTTTCTTTTGCGTGTGTGTGCTTTCGCAAAATTGCGCTAAAATAGCTGCATTAATTACGCTTTGCAACTCACGTTTAAAGCTCTAGTACATAATACGCTGCAGCAATTTTTTTTTTTTTTTTGTAAAGCTAAAAAGTAAACAAATTGCATTATTTTGGCTTGGAATTTTCTTGCTTTTTTTCCTTTATATAAATTAACTGAAAAAAGTTGGAAACTTAAATTCGATTTAAGTGAAGGTGATTTTGTTAAATAAAACATACCTATTCCATTAGTTTCAGAATGTAAATGTTTGCAAATATGATCGCAATAATAAAAAGATTAAATAGCAAATTTTATTAAACAAAAAGATTAAATAGCAAATTTTATTAGGAAAATTACTTTTTACTGCTTAATAAATAAATAAAGAGGAGTGTTTTTTTAATGGCTTCTACAGGAAGTAATTTCCCGAGTAGATGTAAATTCAGTATCGTTTCTGTACAGTTCAGGCTCTTTAGAGATTTAATTGGTATGTTTTCAATTGTGTTGTGGAGCATGACGTATAAACAACGCAGAGTTATGTCAGAATCGCGCGGAAGAGCATTTTCCTTCTCTTGGTACTCTTCTCACGTTTCCCGGCATGCTTCGGAACTGAGTCATATGATTTGAGTCAATTTATTTTCAAAAATGGTGCGGAAATGAAGCATTTAAATAATTTTCTATGGTTCTATCGCCATTGCGATCTCATCCTGTCATATTCATCTTCTGTGATTTCTCCTTCCCCCCCCCCCAAAAAAAAGGCCCAAATTTTGAGTCATGATATTTTCAAGCAATTCCAATTCACAGAGGACATGAAAATTGTTTAACAATCGCAGTAATGACCAATGTATACCCCACAATTATTAGGCGGTAATAAAGTCAACAAAGTTGGAAAAAACTAATGCCATATTCAAAATATAATTCTATATGTTCTTGTAGTTTTACTTATCTCAATTTCTTTAAACTGCCAACTATGACATTTGAAAAAATATATATATTTAAGGTAAATAAAAATGCGTAAATCAGCTTTATAATTTAATTTAATAATAAGCTCTTAAATCCCCACTTGGGGGTATTTCCTTTCTGTATTTTAAAAGTAGTCATAACTTTTCTGAGTTGTGCCATTTCTAGATGAATCGATTTCACATGGCTTGTGTAACGCTGATGACGTAGCTAATTCGAAACGTGAACTCAAAATTTTGAAAACTGAAACCTTTCTAACCTAATCAAAACCTTCTCTTCCACACTGGATAAATGCACACTTAGCTTCTACTTTTGTTGCCGCTTGGACGCTTTTTTCCAGTCTCAACAATCAGTATCAAAAATGTAAATGTTCTGGAAATAAGCACGATTAGAGTAACAAGTAAACTGTGGCCACAAATGCCAATTGAAATAAAAATAAATACTTAATATTACTTGGCTGCCAAGTTTCCTAATCACTACGGGTTTAACATTTTAGCATACTACGGAATCAGAATTTTTCCTCTATAATATGGATCTACTATGTTCTATGAATTCTACATCCCACGTCATCAACATTGCTACTACGGCTTTTTCAGTTTTTTTATCATATACATATATATATATATATATATATATATATATATATATTACCATTGTCCTATATCATTCTTTATTCTACAATATAACAACCAATATTTAGAAGTTGTATTAATAATTTCATTTATCAGTAGTTTAATGATGCTTTAACCTTCTTACAGGTAACATTACATGCAGGAAGAAACTGAATATAACAAACATTGAAGATTTTTAAAAAGTGACAATTTTTTAAAGCAAGATCAATGTATGCACGACGCAAGCCTGTGTTATTTGTTACTACTAATTTGTATTGCATAGAAGTGAACAACAAAACGCTCCTTAAAAAGAACATTTCATGCTGTAAACGCACAGCTGAAAAATGGACAATTTTTTTCAAGTATTATAAAGACGTATATCTCATTTTCCCCATTTCTTTATTAATTTTAGCGTCCAAAAATCAAGAGGGGAAAATTATGAGAATAATTTAATTTTCGAAGGATGCGCTTACAGTTCGAAAATAAGAAATGAAAAGTAGTAATGGATGAACTAGTAATTGTTGTAATATTATTTCTTGAAAAGGAACCTACATTTCGATAAGAATACTCAGTAGTATTAATCTTTACAGTATATTGATCTATTAAAAATATCTAATATCTATACTCATCTATTACAATATCTAACAAGATATCGTCATTTCTGCTTCCTTGTAACATGAATCTCGTTCTTTCATGTTGCTGTCCTTAGACCTCAGATCATCTATAACTAATTAGAAAAGTCTCAACGAAATCATAGATTCGTGTTTGCTTCGCTGTGATTTCGTGTTTGCTTCGCTGTGATGGGTCGGGTCTTATATTAGGCTGGCATAAAATTCAACAGTTAGAAAGAAATGGTCCAGCCTGACTTTCGCAGATAATTTATAGGGTGTTGTCTTTGTTAGTAAGATAAAAATAATCATTACTTGGACGAATCCATTTTAAAATTTAGGAAAGATCGTCCTTGAACACATTGGACAATGGGAAAATTAGGCGATTATTTCAAACATTTTCCGAATTTTGTACTAAATGCTCAGGGAAAAACAAGAGGAAATTCAGTATTTATTGCCCTCCGTAACAGTATTTCATAATTATGTATTAAAAATGAAAACTCGGTAGTTTTAAATTAGAAGCAATTTTAAAAACAAAAGAATGTATAAAAAAGGGAAAAAAATTAAAATCTGATTCAACTTTCTCAAGAGGAGGTACGTCAGACTTCAATTAAATCCCATTTCCAGGGAAAAACAATGTGTCACTCAAAATTAGCTGATGAGCCAGTTTTTCTTTAAGTCTTTGAATAGAGTGTTTTAAATTAATTTACTCTTTTTATCTTTAATTAATTAATTTTTCAGCAGCCTTTTGCGCAAAAATAATTTTAAGATCTTTTGCTTAAAATTTCTACAATACTTTGTATTACTTGCCTGATATAAAAGTCCTTACTTAGCCATTATCTTCTCAATCCTTGGTCGTACTCATATACTTTCAATTACAGAAGTGTTTTAAATGACAAAAACATTCATATTTTGTCAATGTGAAATTTGAAAAATAAATTAATTTTCGACAGGTAATGAAATCTTGCTTTTAAGGCGATTTTCCGGTTTTTATACTTATATTTGAGGAAGTTTTACACTCATTATAAAACAATAAAACTATAAGAAGTTTGACTCCCGTATGACAAAAAGTGACCGAGATGTTTTGTTTCCAAATCTGCAATTTTTGTCGTTTACAACTTACAGAAGTCACAAAAAAAAAAAAAAAAAAAAAAAAAAAAAAAAAGTTTTAATCCGTTTTAAATCCATTTTACAACCAGCTTTGGAAAAAATAGCTCTTTATTCAGTCTGCATGTACAGACATCATGCAGAAAATGGTCCAAATAGATTCGGGAACTGTCAAACTTTATATTTCCTTTAAAATATGATACCCGAATTTTTTCGCATTTACAATACTTCCTTTACTTTGTACAATGAAGTAAAAAAGAACTAGTGAAGCTTGTCATTTTAAAATGAACGATTTAAAAGCATGATATTGTTAATTTTCATCTCAAATTTGCGACGTAATAAAAAAGGAGTAAATTACATGCCTAATAATTTTAGATATTTGCTTACTTGGGTTACTTCTACCTGATATTTTATGAAGCCGATATAATTTGCAAATCATTATTACATAGGTAACTAGAAATAAAGTCAATACATAGATTTATTTGTTTTAGAAGCATTCTATACTGCCATACACAATCATTGATACAAACTCGTATATAATTATAGTTGAACTCAATCTCTGCAATTTACAAAGTCTGACAATGTGTCGACATGAATATCGATTAACGTTTATGTGATAATAAACTCATCATAATTCAATTGAAAAATCGGAGTAACGGCGAACTAATTTTAAAAAAGCAAGCAATAACTAAAGGAGCATTTCAAGCAAAGAAAAGGTTTAAAATTCTTCATTAATATTTTTATTTTTGGATAATAGGAGCCCTTCGTTTTCGAAATGTTATTTTTTTTTACAGTAAGTTTACTTGACTTATTTTTTGATGTTCTTGGAATCGAACACATTTATTGTCGCGCATGACCGATTGCGCTGTATGCTATCATCAAGGGATGGATCAGAACGAAAAATTTCCACGAATTTTTTTACTTATATGATTTGACTTTACACAGAAAGAAGCAGAAGATTACAGAAATTACTTCGAAGCATTTCTTCTTTATTTTCAAGTTAAATTTTGAATTCGCTTTGAAGAAAATA